CATTGATTTCGTTTCGCCATTGCCCTGGAATGACAGATCCGTTGTCAGTAATTTCCTTATCGACACAGCCATTGACAAAATATGATTCTGGGGATGTTTCTCTTAGCCAGTTGTGAAGGCTACAGGCTGCGGTAACTACTTTATTTACTGTTGTTAGCTGTACGGCTAAGTGTCTTTCGAAAATCCGGAAACGACTAACTAATATTCCAAATGCATTCTCCGAAATTCTTCTTGCCCTGCTCAAGCGGTAATTGAAGACTTGTTCATTTACGGTAAGACGTCTTCGGTACCCACTGTATGGCTTCATCAGGTACATTTTAAGCGGAAATGCATCGTCCCCAACAAGGAATAGACCATCGGGTAGAAGACTGTTCTCTAATGCTTCATATATATTGCAATTTTGAAATACACCTCCATCTGAATTAGATCCTTTGAAACCAACATTGATATAACTGAAGCAGTATTTATGATCAACAACAGCCATAAGTACCACGCTGTGCTGCCCTTTATAATTATAATATTCACTGCCAGAGTTGGGAGGTGCCTTAATTAAAACGTGTTTGCCGTCTATAGCCCCACAGCAATTTGGAAAGTTCCAATGCTCCTTAAAACCCTCAGCCACAGTGTTCCATTCGTCTCTGGAAGGAACCTGAAACCAAAATTTAAAATTCCCTCTTAACATTTACTAATTTAGTTTTTGTTTTATTTTTTGTTTGTTTTAGGAAACAACCATTTCACACAATACAGAGTCGAAATATCCACTCAACACAGAATCACAGGAAGAGGAAGGGACTATCGATGATCCAGATCAATCAGTGGAAAATATAACTCTACCACAAACATCGAGCTGCCAACAAACACCATCTCGTAAGCAATCGGCATCGGAAACATTTAAACGACGGCCTGCAGGCAAAAAGAAGAGACTTGACAATCTAACACAAGCAGTGAAGGACCTTCAACAGGTTAGTCAAAATATCCATGACGACCGGATGGACAGCAATGAGAACGAAGCGTTTGGAAATTTTGTTTCAGCGAGCTTGAATAATTTACCACCGGAACAAGCTGTGGTGGCCCAACATGAGATTCAGGGAATTCTGATGAAGCACAAACTAAGCGTTTTATCCTCAGCAAACTGCTCAGTACTCCAACTCAACACACCACCAAGTTTACCAGTGCACATGTCTCACAGCACCCCTGCATACTCCGTTTCATCAGGATGCAACTCCCACCAGTCATTTTACACCAATTCTCCACTTGGCAGTCCTACGAGTAGCAGTGCTCAGCAAATGGCGTCTTCGTCACTCGTTACTCAACAGCAACAGTATCCAGATGGTAACAGTATCCATCTACAAGATGCAGCTGTGAATCCTGAAGATTCAGATATTCTGACACGTGCTATGCAAATGACTTATACACAGGTTTAATATTTAAACGGGACTTGCTTCACCGAAGTTTCTGTGGTGTACCTTTTTCAACATTTATCTGAAGTACTATTTTGTTATTTTACGAATTTTCAATTAAAACTATTTTTTGTAATGCGTGTACCTGTTTATTCACCCTGTTATTGAAACTTACCTTTATTGACTCCTCCAATACTTCGGAGATGGCATCACACACCTCGGGGACCAACTTTGAAATTGCAGGTCTTGAAACCCTAAAAAAATGAGAAAGGCTTCGATAGCTGTTGCCTGTAGCTAAAAAATTCAATGTAATCTCAAGCTTCACTCTTGGTTTTATTGCATCCCTCATAAACGTGTCTTGTCGTTCGATTTTGTCATGCACCATATTCAGAAGTTCTTCGAATTTTCCTGGGGTCATCCTTAGACACATCTTATATTCCAACTCATCCTCTAAGGCTAGTTCTCTTAACAGAAGAGCTGAGGCCCCGTGTGTATTCCTTCTTTTAAGCCACTCTCTCATCCACTCCTTTCTTTGTTTGTTTACCTCATCATCGATAGCTTCAGCGACTTCAGTTACAAATGCATTTGCAACTGTAGCTAAACAATTTTGAATCAATTTTCTTTTTCTTGAATTCATTTTGCACTAAACAAACACCCACTCCACACTATACTAGCATCAGTACTATACTTGTAACTCTCCTCGTGTGAACGGTATCAAGCCATTTTTGGTAGAGTAGCGAGTAGAGTCGACTCTACTAGCTATTCTACTCTCCTCACAACTCTACCCGTGTAAACAAGTCTTTATTTTTGTTTACAACTGTTTATTTTTCCTTGAACTTAAGCTTGTACTTACCCTCCGAAAAAAAAATCAACCTCTAAAGACTTGTTTACACGAGTAGAGTTGTGAGGAGAGTAGAGTAGCGAGTAGAGTCGACTCTACTCGCTACTCTACCAAAAATGGCTTGATACTTGGTGGTTCACCACCACCAAAGAAAAGATGTATTTGCATGTTTCGTGGACTTCGAAAAGGCATTCGATAAAGTACAGCATGTAAAATTAATGCAAATACTGAAAAATATCGGAATAGATGACAAGGATATTCGTGTCATTCAAAATTTGTACTGGAATCCAACTGCTATCGTAAAAATTGGAGATAACTACACCGATGAAATCCCCATACAACGAGGAGTCAAGCAATTTAAAACGAGGACCAGCTATTTAAAAAGGCACTTGAGAGACAACCATATGGAATAAAAATCAACGGGGAACTACTTAATGTGATTAGATATGCAGACGATACAGTAATTCTATCAGATAATATTGAAGGTCTTCAAATTCTGCTTGATCGTATTCACGAGGTAGGAGAGAAAATGGGCATTAAAATAAACTTAAACAAAAAAAAATTTTCAGTGTTTAGTCGTGACCCACATCCCGATGCAAGGCTTCAATTGAACGGAGTCCAAGTTGAGAAAGTTCACAAAATGACATATTTGGGAACTGTGATAACGGACGAACTAGATCCAGACATAGAAATAAAACGTAGAATAGCAATGACTAAAACTACTTTTATGAAAATGAAGTCATTTCTTTGCAATAACTATCTCAGTTTAGAACTAAGGCAAAGAATGGTTAAGTGTTATGTTTGGTCTGTACTTTTGTATAGTGCAGAAGTGTGGACGCTAAAAGTATCGATCATGAACAAAATTGAAGCATTAAAAATGTGGGTTCATAGACGAATGCTGAAGATATCTTGGACAGCAAGAAAAACTAATGAAGAAGTACTAAAGAGCGTCAACAAAGACAGAGAACTGCTAAAGACTGTTAAACATCGAAAAATGTCTTATCTGGGACATATAAGTCGATATAAAATTTTACCTGATCCTTAAAGGCAAAATAGAGGGCCGTAGAGGTGTAGGAAGAAAACAAGTTTCTTGGTTAAAAAACATTCGTGAATGGACTCAGATACCAAATGCAGGACAATTATTCCATATTGCAGAAGATCGAGAAGCCTTCGCAATGGTGATCGCTAACGTCGGATAGTTCTGTTATAGCACGCGAAGAAGAACCCCGTTCACACGAGGAGAGTTACAAGTATAGTACTGATGCTAGTTTATTGTGGAGTAGGTGTTTGTTAAGTGCAAAATGAATTCAAGCAAAGAAAAATTGATTCAAAATTGTTTAGCTACAGTTGCAAATGCATTTGTAACTAAAGTCGCTGAAGTTATCGATGATGAGGTAAACAAACAAAGAAAGGAGTGGATGAAAGAGTGGCTTAAAAGAAGGAATACACACGGGGCCTTAGCTCTTCTGCTAAGAGAACTAGACTTAGAGGATGAGTGGGAATATAAGATGTGTCTAAGGATGACCCCTAGGGAAATTCGAAGAACTTCTGAATATGGTGCATGACAAAAACGAACAACAAGACACGTTTATGAAGGATTCAATAAAACCAAGAGTGAAGCTTGAGATTATGTTGAATATTTTAGCTACAGGGAACAGCTATCGAAGCCTTTCTCATTTTTTTAGGGTTTCAAGACCTGCAATTTCAAAGTTGGCCCCGATGTGTGTGATGCCATCTCCGCAGCTTGCCTCATACTTTTATTTCTGTAGTGTACACTACCTAAATTCCATAAACACTGGTATTCGCCATACATCTCTACAAGTTTTAAAGTTTCATCTTCGGTGAACTTCATTTTCACTATTTCTACAAAACACAACTCCAGCTGAAATTACTGCAGCACTCCAGCATCCCTATGCACTCTCCTACATACTCTACTCTACCAGAATCGACCGCAGACGAGTGGACATTTTGGCGGTGGTGGTGGTAGTAGAGTAGAGTTACTTTGTCACATGTTGCTAGTCACTCTACTCTACCACATACTATGCACTCTACTTGCCACTCTACTGCGCTGAGCGTTTTTATGGGTAGAGTTACTCTTCTCTACCAAGTACTTGCATCATTACTCTACCCGTGTAAGCGGGTCTTAAGAAATGCACACTGAGGTTATAAAAAATGTAACATTTCAGTGGACTACTACTAATTAGATAATTTATAATACACCTGAAACTTTTACTGTTTGCCGCCACAAACGTTTCCTAATTTAAGAATTTGATGGATTTATTTTTAATATGACTATATGAAGTTATAAGATAAATTTAATTTTATAAAATTTAAAATGTAATAGTATTGTTCTAAAGCTATTTTCTTGTGGCATTTTAAAGTAATTACTATTTAAATGGGATTAAGCCACAATTTAAGGTTATAATACGTTTATTGGCGTTTCAATTTCCACTTCGGAAATCGTTCTCAAAATATTCTCAAAATTAAGAACGATTTCCGAAGTGGAAATTGAAACGTCAATAAACGTATTTTAACCATTAATTATGGCTTATTCCCATTTAAATAGTAAGTACTTTAAAATTTAATATTTAAAGATTTATGACCGACTCTTGTTATAAGAACACACATCCTACAGATAAAATTTTAACTTTTGCTTCACAAAAATAAACAAATCAGGTTGACCATACTACACCACGAACAATATTTGAAATAATGCATATGTTTGATAATGTGATTATTTTTTTTTCTTTACTTTTCAGAGTAATTTTTCAATGGGTAGACTACCGTATAATTGTAGGAAAGTTTATATGTTAGATTTTGGCCTTGCCAGGCAATATACGACGGCCACAGGCGAAGTGAGGGCGCCAAGAGCGGCAGCTGGTTTTAGAGGCACTGTACGGTATGCTAGTATCAACGCTCATAAAAATAGAGGTAAGTTATAAGCCCGTATTTTTTTTGAGTGTATATTTTAGTTGATTATATTTTATGGCATTCTCCGGTATAGTCACATTTCAACACCTTTCAGGAATTTTTGATATAGATATGCAGTCTCCTCACATGAGATTGGCTACAACTTTTATAAACTGTTCTCCATGTAGGAGTCTTCTTATTAGCGTTAGAAGCTGTAATCATATTTATTCTTTGATGATACGTTGACAGGTCGTTTATGATCTAGCAGGACCAAGTCTACCACCTGTCTTCCGTTCCAGTATCAGCTACTCTGAGTTCCCGATAACCATTCATGCGTGTTAACATTTCTGATTTTCTAACGTGGTTGGTCCGTGGTATTTTTAACATGCGACAAAACATCTACATCCCTAAACGTCTTAACGAGCTGATAGAAGAAAAATGATACAATATTTCGGGTGGTTAGAAATTATCGTATTTTTAAAAATATGATTCTATTTTACGCCCGATTTCTATTCTAGATCTAAAGTGTTACCTAACAAGCAGTCCAAATGTTTTAACTTAGTTTTTTGTTTTTTGTTTACTAATATTTTTATAATCGGCTTGTTCTTCAAAATCACCACAGGTTTTCTATTCTTTACATTCACATTAAGCCCGTTTTGTTCACTTTCAGCAATCGGTAATGTATCGTCAGCGTACCGGATATTATTAGCACATCTCACGTTAAATTTTTTCCTCTTGTACCTCGTTTATAACTGGTGCAAATATTCTGAGTACAAATTGAATAATAATGGTACAAGTATACAACCTTGTTTACCTTGTTTACCTCATTTGCCTTTAGATATTTATAGACTCAGTGTACCTAATTTTTCCAACAAAAGCATTTTGGTTACAGTAGTTCATGTATGATGTTGGTGTCGTTTTAATCTATGTTATTTTTTTGACATGATTGTAAGAACCTAATTTTACTTGTAATATCTATTTTCTCCCCCTTTTGTGGCCTTCTCCAATAGTTTCTAGCGACTAAAGCATCTCATGCATTCCTGTTTCTTCTCGATAGTTTAATATGTCTAGAGGTAAAATTTTAGATAAATCCTTTTCTGTCTTCTGTCTCATATGCCCCTAACAACGTACTCCGGAATTCCATAGAACACAGCAGTTTGCTTGTATAGACATACGTTTCATTGTTGTACCCCGTGTAGAATCTTCATTCTGCCACTACTATTCTTCATCTTTGAGATACTTTCTCAGTCGACAATGCCTTGTAATAATCGTATTAAAATCCTTTTTTTGTTTACGGCCTTTTTTGTTTAAACTAATGCAGTATTTAAATCTTGTTTGGTTATACATAGTTCCATAGAAGTACTTTTGATTTTCCCATTCCTTGTAAATCTTCCCAATGTTTGGATTAAATTCCGCAAAATGGTTCTGATTTCATAAAAGGATTTTTTACATCTCTTTTGGCTAATTCTTCGGCAATTCCGTCTCCCTCTGCTCCGGTATTTCCCGCAATCCAAAGGATGGTTATTAAATTTTCCTTGTTTATAAATGGGAACAGTCTTTGGTCTCCGATATTTTTGTCCAAGTTTAACTGAGCGTTTACGTTTGAAATATGCTTGGGATTTTATCCATACACTATATCCTAAATCGTTCTGCTGTTTTCTTTGGAAGCCGTCTAGTTTACACCGGTCACATTACAACCAGTTGCAATATAATATCTTCCAATACCTAGTATACAAATCCTCGAAACTTCAGCAGATCTACTATAAATAATTTATCCGCTCATACCCGATAGACCTTTTACTTGGTACTGGTATAACCACGGCTCATATATATCAAGACAACAGCGCACGTTATAATAGCAACTATTAAGTTCTACTGAAGCTGCTTTACGGTGCTGAAGGTTTGCCTCTAAGAAACTGATTCGGGTCACTTATACCTAATTGAGACAGAGTCTGTGAGTCGGAGATCCCCTCTTTGCTCGTTTTTGGGCCACTTGTTTTTGTCTCCGTGTCCATATGATTTCCACGAGTTTGGGAGTAATAACGATAATACAAAAATTTGATTCCCCATTTATATGGTTTGTTTGGCATGTACTGACGAAGATGATGTTTTGCCTTTGTACTCTACATTTATTCATCAACACATAAACGACTAAGTTTTGGAATAGAATCAAATCGCGAATTTAGTTTGTTGGTAAGTGTACGAATTCTAAACAAAGAATCATAGCCTGGCACACCTTTCTTTATACGTTTTTCTTCATCTTCAAAACATAAAAAAATATTTTAAAAAATTGTTTGCTTTTCATTGTATCTCGAATCGGTTGATGTGCATATTTGCTCCAATAGCTGTCGAGGTTTGGGTACCGATAAACAGACATGAATATCAACACGCCAATGTACCGACGAATCAATTGAGGTGTTACTTGCAAATTTTGTTGACTGCTCTTGTTTGTTCTAGATGCGTTCAGATTGGTATTGAATGACATCAAATCAATAATTCTGCCGGTGAAAAAATAGTTGAATAATTCTATAGGACTTTTGAGGCATTTCACTTCCGGAGGCAGCTTAGAATCGTCACGAAAGGCAACTTGGAATCGCCAAGAAAGGCAACTTCATTGATATGTAGACGCATAGATTTTTAGACGGCATCAAGTGCTAAAAATTTTAAAAGACATTATTGTTTTCTTCTTTACCTGAACCAATAAAACCACCAGCTGATGGCACAATAGACGGATCATCTTCTTCATAAATTGGAAGTGGTGATCGCTGGCCTACATGAAGATGTATAGTTGAAAGATTCTAAAGGTGCCGATGGGGCATTGCGTCTATGCGTAGCATTATAGTAGGTGTATGAGAAAATATATTAGAAATAATGAAATTTGACAAATTTGACGTAAAATTTGTTATTCCATTATTTCGAATACTTTCTCTGTCATACACCGACTGTAATGCTGAGCATAGACGCCATCCCCACCGGCACCTTTAGAATATTTTAACTGTAGATGCTTGCAGTTCTGCTTCATTTTCAGCTCTAATTTTAGTTTGAGGTTTAACATCTACCTCGACTTTATCACAATTTTCATTATTACCAGTGAATGTAGAAGATGCAGGAGCATAAAATGCGCTTATTTGTAATCTGACCAGAAATTGATCTGTAGTGTCAGCATTTTCCATTTCATACAAACATTCAGCAATGACCTCTTTTTGCATTTCATCCGCAACAAACTTGGGATCTTCGACACTATCACCACTGTCCTAATCCATTTCTTCATCCGTTTCAACCCAATTCATGAGCTGTTCTATGTTATCGTCTTAAGTCTTCCAATATAAATCGCTTTGTTCGAAACATGCATGAAAAATCTATTTCTAAAATAAAAAAACAAATCAAAAAATGATAGATGGAATAATTATTATGGATGCGTTTAAACTGATTTTTCGAACAATACTGATAGCAGCGTGCAAACCAAATTTTGGATTGCATTAACCTTTTCAACAAATGTTAAACACATGTTGTCTTACGGAACAGAAACCGGTTTAAACGATAATAATATTCAGGTGTAGGTCTTTCAGCTTTCTAAAGACGAGTTCTTTAAAAATCGCTTACCGACCGGAGAGGTAAGGACATTGGCGATCATCATGGCCCACTTTATTCTATCTTCAGCAGTTCTGAAGAGTTCTATTGTTGTTTTCCACTCCACTGCTTTAAATTTTTCAACCAGGATCTCTTTTTCCTTCCACTTTCCCTTGAATAACCAAAGGCATCAACTCATATGGGAGTATATTATGAGATAAGGCAGGTACAAAGAATGCGTCAAAAAGTGTCGATTCTGCAGAAACTACCGACGCAAAGCAATAGAATAATTTTGTATATATACCACGTTATAAAAACAATAATATTATAAAGTCAATATATGGATATATATGTCAATAAAGTCAATAGTTTGCCAACTAATATTGAGATCGCGCATACAAATATTTAATACAATTATTAATACATAAAGGCACATGAAATATAATCAGTGTTAACAAATGTACGGATACAGTAAAAACATTGTTCTGAAGCTATTTTCTTGTGGCATTGTAAATTAATTACTATTTATAACTGGGAATAAGCCACAATTAAAGATAAAAATACGTTTATTGACGTTTCAATTTCCAATTCGGAAATCGTTCTCAAAATACAAACAGTAAATTAAACAAATTTTGTTTTTTGTTACATAGTGAAAAAATTCTTCTAATAATTTAATTTTATCTGACTCATTTATATTGACAATTCAGACATACATTATGCATTTTAAAGTAGACGACTTTAAAATGATATTGCCAATATTGTTGAGTTGCGCTCCTGGGACGACTTTACTTATAAGATAGTTCATTCGATTACATGAAATCAACTTTAACTTGAGAATATCCGTCAGAAAAAATCATAGCACGTAATTCGTCTTTAAAAAGACAAACACGTGACATGATGACAGTAAAATTCTCCTGTTAGTGATTCCATAGTAAATTATGAGGGAAAAACCAGGAAAAAAAAACCTCATAATACTATCCCGACATTGTAAGTATTTGTTCGTGAATTTAGTTTACAAAAAAAAAAAAAAAATGATGTATCCTCCATATCTTACTGACTTACTAATACTGGTATTTTCTTATTAATAACTTCCTCTTTCAATATTGGTAACCAGATCCTACTACATTCTGCCGAGGAATTTGCAACACAATTGGCCTCATTTAGCATAATTAGAGCCGCTTCTTTGATTTTTCTTTTTTTACCATCCGTTTCTTTTAGGACTATATTTGAATTATTCCATTGAACCCTATGTTCATTATCCCATGCGTGTTTACATATTTGAGATCTATCAAATTCTCTATTTTTAATATAAGATTGATGTTCACTTATTCTAACATTTAATGGCCTTGATGATTCACCTAAATAAAACTGATCGCATTCACAAGGTATTTTATAAATGCAATTCTTTGTCCTTTCTTGTTCATTGTTAGGTTTGGTTTTGGACAAAATAGATCTCAACGTGTTTGTTGTTTTGAATGTTGTTGAAATGTTGAATTTATTTCCTATCCTTTTAAGTTTTTCTGATAATCCTTTTATGTACGGTATTGTTATTTTCCTCATATTATTCCTTGTGTATGCTGTAGGATCTCGTTCTAAGTTGTTCTGTTCTATTCGATCGATTGTTGAAAATTCCTTATTTATAAACGATAAAGGATAATCATTTTTTAATAAAACAGATGTTAACAAATGTTTCTCCTCCAAGAACGAATTTTCGTTAGAGCAAGTAATTTTGGCTCTATCGTATAAGGATTTAATTATTCCCTTTTTTGGTTTTTCCCTCATAATTTACTATGGAATCACTAACAGGAGAATTTTACTGTCATCATGTCACGTGTTTGTCTTTTTAAAGACGAATTACGTGCTATGATTTTTTCTGACGGATATTCTCAAGTTAAAGTTGATTTCATGTAATCGAATGAACTATCTTATAAGTAAAGTCGTCCCAGGAGCGCAACTCAACAATATTGGCAATATTATTTTAAAGTCGTCTACTTTAAAATGCATAATGTATGTCTGAATTGTCAATATAAATGAGTCAGATAAAATTAAATTATTAGAAGAATTTTTCACTATGTAACAAAAAACAAAATTTGTTTAATTTACTGTTTGTATTTTGAGAACGATTTCCGAATTGGAAATTGAAACGTCAATAAACGTATTTTTATCTTTAATTGTGGCTTATTCCCAGTTATAAATAGTAATTAATTTACAGTAAAAACAAATGTAAAATGTTCTTAAATTAATTAAGCAAATGTAAATTGTTTTTAACTCAAATTGTTTAATCGCGGTACAAGATGAGATAGATTTCTACACAAATAAATATGGATATAAGTTGTACGTTACCTCATTATATCAGAATTGCTACCGGCGCGGCGCTGGAAAGCGCAGGCGACGTCATCTTCGACAGGCAGGAAAAACAAAAGTGATGGCGAGGTAGCGGGGTAGCGAGGTAGATCCAGAAACTGTGAACAGCGGTTGGTTAAAGAATTGTTGGTGTACAACTACCCAAGCGTTCTACAATTTCAACGAAAGACATTTATTTTTCTATGGTTCATTGTTCACAACATTGTATCAACAACAGTCTATTGTTCGATAGTGGTTAGGTTTTGGTAAACCAAATACTGCTAAAACTAGCAAAAGTACGTTGATATTTCAACAATATTTATATACAGTTGCGAAACTGCAACACTTACCTACAATTTCTTTTTTATTCTTATCCCAGATAAGTTCCGTTAGTTTTGTATCCAACACATTTTAATTTCTTTTTCTTTTTTTTTCTTTTAGAAATGGGTCGACATGACGATTTATGGAGTTTATTTTACATGTTAGTGGAGTTCGTGAATGGGCAGTTGCCTTGGAGGAAAGTTAAAGATAAAGAACAAGTAGGATTGATGAAGGAAAAATACGATCACAGGTTATTGTTAAAACATTTACCGTCCGATCTTAAACAATTTCTCGATCACATTCAGAGTTTGGAATACGCTGACAAACCCGATTATCAGGTAAGAAATATATTTTTATGTAGAACTGCTTAAATATATAAATATGATTAGAAAACGGTGGGGGATACGGTGGCAATCTAAGCACTTCGTTTCCATGTTCACGTATCAATTCATCTACAATATTCAATGTTTTTTCTAGTAGATTCATCTTGGCCAATTGTAACAATTCTGGTTTTAACTGATGTTCACCAAAATTAACATCTTTAACCAATCTATAATGTCTGCTTTTAACCATTTAGCGGAAGGTTGTTTATTCATGATTTCACTATGGTAGGGTCCGTTGTCCATAACAATCAAAGCTAGGTATCCTAAATTAGTAAGTAATTGTGCACTTATCCATTTATACTCCAGTCGTCAGAAACGAAAATGCCATTGAACCTCTAAAAATCATACGAACTAGCTGAATTTTGCTGAGAATATTAATTTTGGTTTATTACTACTACTACTGCTACTATCGGTTTACAGCGTTCTTCGACGCCTTCCGACTCCTAACCGCCATTCTTCTCTATTTAGCCATAGGCCTGGAGGGATTTCTCTTTCTTCTAGTTCTTTTTCAATTCCCTCTCTCCAGCTTCTTCTCGGCCTTCCTCTTTTCCTCCTCCCTTGTGGTGTCCACGTCAAAATCTGTTTTGGAATCCTGTCATCTGGCATTCTCTATACATGGCCTTACCATATTAACTGTTTTGTTTTTATGTCATCAACGGTTGTATGCTTGACTCCCACATAATTTCTCGTAAACTCTCATTTGGTATCCGATCTCTTCTTGATTTGCCTGCTGCTCTTCTCCAGAACTCCATTTCTGTTGCTAGTAACAGTTTCTCTGTTTCATTGGCCAACTTTACTGCCATATGTGATTACACTTTTAAGTATGGTGTTGTATATGAGTTGTTTGTTCGCTTTAGATATTGTTTAGTCCCACAGAATGCCGTTCATCATGGATATGGCTTTTCTACCCTGTATGTTTCTGTCTTTTATAGCAGCATCGAGTGTTCCATCTTGAGTTATCTTCATACCCAAGTACTTGTATTCATCACAGTTTCTAATTTCTACCCCATCGTCTAATATAATGGACTGTTTTGTCCCTCCAATACACATGGCTTCAGTTTTCTTAATGTTGACTTCGAGACCCCATTTGTTATATTCTTCTATTAGCTTCCGAGTCATGTAATTCAAGTCGTCATGATCCTGGGCAATCAGTATTTGGTCATCAGCGAAACATAAGGTGTACAGTGTAGTCTCGTCATTGAGAGGGATTCCCATGCCATTACATTTTCTTTTCCATAGCTTGAGTGCTTGTTCCAGATAAATTTTGAAAAGGGTAGGCGAAATACAGCAACCCTGCAAATTTTGGTTTATTTATTTCCAAAAATTTATTTCCAAAAAATTCAAAAAGTTTACCACTTTTACCCGCGGGCTTCCCTCTAAAACCCTGCCGTATGGATGTAAAAAATACGTCCAAACCGAGCAGTGGTTCAAAAAGTGTTACTGGGACTCTTCTCCATCGATTACAACCATTAAACGATAGTTTGTTGAATTCAAACGTGTTTGTACTGACACCAATGGTACCGAGCGCGTTGGAAGGCCAAATGAGGACAAATTATTCCCGAAAACATCAAAGACGCTGAAAATGATTATGGAAAATCGCAAAGTGAAGTTGCAAGCAGTAGCTGTCACTAGTAAGTAGCATTTTTACTACAAGAACCTTTGAGTACGAGAAAACTGTTTTCCAAAAGGATGTCGCGTTTTCTCACATCAGACCAAGAACAACAACGAATTGATGAGTCTCGGCGCTGTTGGGATACGTTTAATTGGAATAAGTCTGAGGTTTTGCGTTTGTATGTCACAATGGTTGAAACATGGATCCATCACTTAACTCCAGAAACAAATCAGCAGCCCTAAGACGCAATCTGCAGGAAAGGTTATGGCCTCTGTATTTGGGAATCCCACGGAATTATTTTCGTTGATTATTTGAAACATGGAGAATTAATCAACAGCGACTACTACATTGGGTTATTGGAGCGTTTAAAAACCGAAATCGCAAAGAACAGGCCTCATTTGTTGAAGAAAAAATTGGTGTTTCTCCAAGATAATGCACCGCGTTACAAGTCGATGAAAACGATGGTAAAAATGCACTAATTGGGCTTTGAATTGCTTCCGCACCCACCGTATAGTCCAGATCTGTTCCCCCAGGAAGTAATCGTCGAAACTGAAGCCTATTTTGAAGGTAAAGGTAAATCGTTTTACAAGGACGGCATCGAAAAATTAGAAAATCGTTCAAATGATTGTCTCCCCGCTAAAGTAGAATATTTTGATGCGTAAAGAATAATGTTTGCAAAAAGTATTATTTTACTAGTTAGGCCTGGGACTTGACCGATGAATGATATCCTGGAATTGAGTACGTGGGATGTTAGGTAATGATGATAATATTGATTATAATGAAAATGATTATCAGCAAGGTGAATATAAACGGGGCTCATCTATACATTAATGGGACGCAGATAGAGCGAGTAAAACAGTATTGTTACCTGGGAACTATTATTAACGAACAGTGGAGCAATTTACAGGAAATAAAGTGCCGCATAGGAAATGCAAGAACGGTCTTTAACAAAATGAGCGCCATCTTCAAAAGTCACAACATATCCCTTGATACAAAAATGAGACATTTGAGATGCTATGTTTTCTCTGTGTTGTTGTACGGGACGGAGGCATGGACGCTTACAGTCACCACTATTAAAAAACTTGAAGCATTTGAGATGTGGCTTTATAGAAGAATGCTGAGAATATCATGGACAGCAAGGATCACGAACAAGGAAGTTCTAGGAAAAATGAAGAAGGAACCAGAGATTGTGTTTACGATCAAGACCCGGTAGAAGGAGAATATCATGGCTGCGGAATTTAAGAACATGGTTTAAGAAAACCTCAACGGAGCTGTTTCGAGCCGCAGCGAGCAAGGTTATGATTGCCTATATGATTTCCAACATCCGAAACGGATAGGAACCAGAAGAAGAATAATGAAAATGCGATCATTTTCTAAATCTAATTAAGATTTAGAACGATAGCTCCAATCTGTAGCAATGTCATATACTTAGTACTATGTTTGCAAATGCTAATATTTCTCCAATTAAAATCAAATTATCATTACGCTTTTTAATGGTGTTTGTAGTCCCGTAATTCTTCAGTAACTTTAATTTTTTAAACTGAAAACTAGGAGAGACCAGTACTTTATATTCATGTCTGAGAAATCCAGGAATGAGATTTTTTTTCTTATCCGTCAGTTTGATTCTACTAATGTTCAGTATATTTTTAAGAACACAACACTATTCTGCGAAATAATTAAGCCACTAGATTCTATTGAATTTAAGCTTTGAAACTAAATTTCAACTTGTTTTAACTTTTTAGATGTTGATATCCTTATTCGAGCGGTGCATGAAGCGCAGAGGTGTTAAAGAAACCGATCCGTACGACTGGGAGAAGTCGCAGACCGACAACCAAGTGGTTACGCAACAACCAGTGACGGGTACTACCACTCAACAAGCCACAGCTCCAACGACAGTTCCAAGACACACCCGACACACTCCTACGACGGATAACAACCAGGAGAATATAGAGCCCACGGACAACAAAGAGGTCAGCACGTTGAATAACTGTAATAACCTTTTTCTGTTTTTTATTTTGCATGATTTTATTTTTATTTATGCTGGTGATGGTTTGGTGTTACAGGTATTTGATTTTCTTGAGGTGTGCGCTTTGAAAATTTATGCGCGTCCCTACTGGCATCAAGGTTATAATAACCCATGAAGCAAGACTCTTCTTTACCTTAAGAATGACCTGAAATAAATCCTACAAATAGATATTTAAAGATATCTCCAACAATTGTACTGTATTCGTTTGAATTGCTCATTTTGTAAGCAGGATTTAATTTGACATTGCCACTACAATCCGTACACAGTGCTGGTGACTCGATCTTCACTACACGATATTTTAAATCGAATACGCTATTTGTAAAACGCTTAGTAGAACATTAGAGTGTCAGGGGTGCGCAGTTCTGAAAACCAACTACCTCTAATTTGCTAATGATATTGATTGTTATAGTAATAGTTTACATTGACATATCTCTTTAGCTTAACACATTTTTTAACTGTATAATTTTGTGTTACGGTAGTGATATCCTCATTGATGTGTTTTTAAGCTTTAGGTAATATTGCTTCTACAGAAAGAACGTACTTACGTCGTTTTGTTATATCCCTTCGTACTTTGGCAGGTTTAAGAAATAACAAATAGAACATGACATAAAAGCTATTAACAATGTAAAACCAGTAGTGCCGCTTTATTTCGTGTTTAATTTATTCGATATATTACTGAGCTCTGATTTTTAAGAACACAAAATTAGACTTAAAAAAACCTTCTATTCAACAACTTTTCGTGGTATTTCCATTCAGAATCATTGCCTCCAGATTATAAGATCTTGGACCAAGTCTTCATCTATCTCAAGGAGTCTGCTAGCATCATTTTTTTCCTCACTCCATAACTTGCGGAGTAGTCATATTTTGTTTCTATGAGAATACTTGTCTGGACAAACCTCATGCTATATAGATGATCAAACTTTCTGAAATCTCCTTTCTAGATATTATCAACAATTTTTTCTGTTGCTGAAATATTTTTTTGGTTAGGTATCTTACAACATACTTAATCCAGAAACTCTAGCTTTTCTAGATTGTCCTATGTACTGCATCAACATGGTTTTACCAATTCCTACTTTAGTGGTTTTGCTGTTCTTTAAAAAGTTTTTTTCATATTTTCTCATCCTTTACCACTTCAAGATACTTAAAATGGTTCCATCATTGTATATTACCATCATTCATATTGTACCATAATTCACAACTAAATATCCAGTTTCATCCAAACTTACCGTTTAGACACCGTTTGATATTTTCTGTATGTAGTCTTCTCATGCCTATCTGACGAATGCAATTTGAAGAAGAGAGTACGCCAACGATGCGTTTTATCTCCCTTAATATTTAACATCGATTCTATATTTAACATATAACAATAGTTTTGGATGATTGGGAGAGAGGAGTAAACCTAGGCGGTGTCAAGATATCCATCATACTACGACACTACGCCTCTAGTCTCATTTCAGAAGAAATTACTAACTTATTAAATAACTCGAGCTAGACAGCGCCAAGTTTCGTGGTTAACTACAACAAAACCAAAATCCTGGCTATTGATCGCCAACAACAGTTTCTTGAAATCCAAACTATTGCGATGCGATGCGAGGAAATCTCCTCTATGATATACCTTGGCTAGTTAACGACACAGGCAGTTGGGAACCCGAAATTTGAAGACGCATGTAACTAGAAAGAGTAATAATGACTTAACTAAACGGGTTATGGCGTTCGTCAAATTACTATAAGAAACAAGAAGAAACTTGTTTGAAATTAGATAGATGACGCATAGATGCTTTTGAAATGTGGACATGGATACGACTGCTTCGAATTCCATGGATGGCTCGCTGCACGAATGCCTCGGTTGTAAATGAAATTAAACCCAATCAGCGTCTCTTCAGTACTGTTTACTGAAGCTCAATGATAAACCACAACACATCTGCTAAGATTTAAATGATAATAAGTCTTCTTAACATAAACTGTAAAACACAAGGTAAACATTTATGAGTATCATTGATGGATAGGCAAGACTGTTTCCAGTTTTTTGGGGTTATTCGGCAAAAAACTCCACTTTCACAAGTCTTCGTGAAAATTACGAAATGAATTCCTAACCTGGTTGCAAAAACAACTTTTACATGCTGTTCTTCAGCCTCGTCAGTTTTAATACACTTATACCCATTTGCTTACATTGTTCGGTTTTTTTTGCAAAAAGCTTTGTTTCTACAAAAAGCGTTAACTTAATTAACCAATTGACTCAATTTCATCACAAAAAATCATCCCACAAAAATTTCCCACGTGATAACCGTCTTTCCTCGAAATAAAATAGTAACGCTAAATGTACTACTCCAATTTCTGTATCAAGAACATTAAAGATTCATAAATCCAGGAGGCTCATTTATATATAATGTACTACAGTTAAAATCGTAGTTAACACAATATTCAGACCAGACCTATGTGGATCATGCAATGTACCCAGATGCATTGTGGCGATTTTTCTTTTATTTTATAAGTGCTTGTATACTTTAAAATCTTCCGGACATTGAACGAGCAACATCAGACCATATTTCGAGCAACTTTTCCATTTTATGTTTGCCAAATAATGCGAGTGCTGCTACTTTGAGTTGTACTGGTTTGAGTTCTACCGGTTTGCAGAAAAATAGATCTACTACTAATGACATATCTTCACAAAATCGAACATAGGCTATGAAATGAGCATTCTTAGTAATATATGTTGTCTGATCAATATGTATTGACAACAATTTGTTACGCAAATTCGAAAAAAGCTGACACTGTACATCTTTAGCCTTATCACCAATTCGATAGCCAACATTTGAAAAAGGTACGGACTGCAATTTTTTTGCAAAATACGTTCTTCACCAAAGGTGTGAGAATTTTTATATCTGGTTTTTTTATATGAAACAAGTATGAAACAAAAAAAGCTTTTTCATTTACAAAGGTTTTTATAAGAAATTATTTTTGTTTTCATATGATCTTAATTTTAATTCGAAAAATTTTCCGAGTTTGTTAAAATACTCACTATGAAGCATTTTTAAGTGTCATATAGGTTTCATGTCGTTTACCGCCAACATTTTTGAACAAATGATACACAGGTATCTTTCTTCTTTATTTACTTACGTGCAGGTAAATCCAAAATTTAAGTACTCTTGAGAATATTTTAATAATTTTATTTTCGGAACTACGTCCTATTGTCAACTTTTTAAGCGTCGAATGCTCGCTTACACTCGCTTAAAAATATTTGCGTGAATATGTAATACGGTTAATTTCAATTAACACGAAAACATAATAAACATTCGCGATAGATTCCATAGCGATAGAATGAGACTGGCTGCAATTGAATTTGTCATTATTCAACATCACTTCACTTCACCCCATAAGAAAATATTTGCTTAATCCTGCTCATGCTCGAGTCGCCATCTGGTCGGCATTCCAAAATGTTCTTCTCACGAAAAAGTCCGCTATGGTAGACGCAAAAGCAATAAAAAGGCACCATATTCTTGTTTTGTCATTGCTAAGCATAGGTTTGGACAAATGTCGATATACTCGGTTCGCTATTCCCAGTCCGAACTGTCTAGTGAATTTAGTAATTATTTTTTTGCGAAGTTAGTTACTTGTTGACAGATTAAAAGTGGCTGGAAATTACTATACAACCAAGCACACGTACTCATAGCCAATATTAATAGTAAAGTAACTAAATAATAAATAAAATAGAACTTTGCGAATTACCGACAATCGATATTTATTTATCTGCACCATATAATAAATAGTTATGTTAAATTATAACAACTAAAATATATTTTTTAAATATATACTACCTAAAATTTGATAGGTTTAGTATACACTTCCACTATTTAGAATAACTCTTCTTTTTTTCAAAGAAAGAAGTCTGCAATAGTAGTTTACTTGAGCTATTAATACTAAGAAGTAGGGATTGTTGTGTAGTAGGTTTCCGACAATGAATCTGTCAAAATATGCCCGAGATAAGCGAATGGAGTATATATTTCCGTATTCTTGGTAATTTGTAAAGGTAATATTAATATCGTAGTGTAGGTTTAGAGCTGAAAAACTTAAAAATACGTTATTGTATAGATAAATTTTATTGTTTGTGGGGAGAGCCATGAAAATTATTAAAAATTGGGCCGCGATAATTGAAAGATTGAGAAACGCTGGTCTATCTTCTTTTTCATGTACCATGTCCTTTCAGAACGTTGGTTACCATCATAGCTATTTTAATTTTATTCACTGCCACCCTAAATAGCATGCTTGTATCTACACCATACCAATCTCGCAAGTTCTTCAACCATGAGGTTCTTCTTCGTCCTGGACTGCGTTTGCCTGTTATTTTTCCTTGCATGATATTTTGTAGCAATCTATATTTGGGACCTCTCATTACATGTCCGAAATATTCCAGCTTTCTCTGCTTGATGCTTTTTATGATCTCAGTAGTCTTCGGAGTAGGCGGATCCTTAATGCCAATTTTAGGTCTCTGTTACATAACACCTTGGACATCCTTCTAAAAGCAGCTCTAGCCTGCTCTATTCTGGATCTAATTTCGCAGTGATGTTCTTCATTACAATTTAATTGCTGTCCAAGGTAGACGATTTTATCAACTTGCTCAAGTTTGGTATTATTTACATATATAGACGGTTTTATATTCTGTTGTTTACTTATTACGAGTATTTTGGTTTTCCTTATGTTAAGATCCAGACCTGCCTCCCTACAACTCTCAACGACACTATCAAGTAGTGTTTGCAGATCTTCTTGACTAGAAGCTAGGAGTACTGTATCGTCCGCATATCGCAAATTATTGATGACTTCGCCATTCACAAGTATTCCTTCTTGTTTTTCAGAAAGTGCTTTTCTGAAAATTCTTTCGGAGTAAACGTTAAAAAGCAGGGGTGACAAGAGGCATCCCTGCCGTACTCCTCTTTTAATATTGAGAGCTTGTGATTCCACACCATCTACTAAAACTGATGTTGTTTGATTCCAATATAAATTTGCAATTATTCGAACATCTCTGCCGTCCACGCCAATGTCTTTTAGGCTGGTCTATGAAGATTATATTTCTACCTGTTGATCCATTTTAATTTTCTTTTTAATTATTTGCTATTAAGACAAGTAATTATCAACACAAGAATGTCCTGGAGTAAATCCGATTACATCATCTTTGATGGCAGTTTCGACTATATTTCTCCTCCGAGCTGTACTCAACCACGATTTATACCCAAGTTCCCTAAAATACTGCAACGTGATTTCTTATTTATTTATTATTTTAGTCTTTAATTTTTGTAGCCTTCTAACACTTATTTTAATTTATTTACACTAACACCAAAGCGTAACTTCTCAATTTATAATACATTTATTTATTACTTGACAATACGAGCTTATAATTTAGAGTACATTAAGTTTAAATCGTTCTGTATTTACGTATTTTGTGAACTGGTCTTCCCTGTAGAAACCTCTCGAGTCATTCAACGCCTGCAACTTGATTGTTGATCACGTACTTTCCATGGTCCTCTTGAACGGTGGATCATCGAAGCTAGACTCTGCAGCACCATCTAGACTAGACTCTTCGGTGGGCAGGGTCAGCATAACAATGCTTGTTACTTTACACAGCTTTAACGTTTTAACTAATTGATATTTTTCGTTTCAGGCTCAAATAGACGCCCGAAGACGTATAGAAACAGAAAATACGGCTCCTTTAGTAACCGATACACAGATAAATGCAACCAGGGCGACCGTTGATAAGAACTGTAATGCTACAGCCGTGGAACAAGTACAAGGTATTTATTAATTTCTTAAATTATTGGTTGATTTTATAATTTAAATTGGAAACAGGTATCAATATATGAAACTTCTAAAATTATACAATATTTGACTGCAATAGCAATCTCACTAATATATACACACTAACTATATTGTCATTTTTACAGCTCGCAAACGACGAGCCACATCTCACCTTGACCAACCTCCCGACCGGCTAGACAACGAAGCTGTAGCTTCAGCAAAATCCACATCGGATGCTGTTAAACCAGCGCCATTGCGCAAGAGTCAGTCCGGAGTCGCTACGGTAGGCCGATTACGAGTAGTCACTCCAGCGCCCGCTACGCAAGTACAGACGACTGCCAGTCTGGTTGATTCTCCAGCTACTCCTGAGCAGGAACGACCAAGAAGGAGACCACCGTCAGCAGCTAGAAGTTCTCGATCCGGCATGCGGGACCAGAGTTTGACACAATTCGCTGTTATGGATGATGAAAACGTTAGTCAACAGGTGAGTAATATGTTAACATTTTATAGGTTACAATTTATCAAAGCAAATCCTAGGCTGAGTAAAACCGTGGGACGTAGAATCATCAAGATTCTTAAATTACGATTTTACATTTATTCTAGAACTGCCGTTGGTTGTTTGTTTCTACTGTTTATATTAAGACGTATATGACAGCCATCGTTATAACGAGTCCTCAAAAAAAATCTTAACTGAAATAGGCCAACGAATAAGCCTTTCTTCTTTTGTATGCTTAGCTAGACGCAGACAATAAATTCAAAATAAATATCCATAACCTAACTTGTGTATACAATGTATAAAATTGTCTGATTTCTTTAAAACACAACTTTAATGAAAATAAGATAGTCTAAAACGCACTTAAGTCCTTTTTATTACTTTTGTAACATGTACAGGGAATCTTTCTCAAGAAAGTTGATATAGACCAAAAAGACATAAGATGCATTGAAAACTTGTACTGGCATCAAACGGCACAGCTAAAAATAGACAATTCTAAGCCCATACATATAAGAAGAGGCGTTCGACAGGGATGTGTGCTTTCCCCTCTTTTATTTAACATTTATTCAGAAGCCATATTTCAAGAGTCTTTGGAGGATGCAGAGATGGGAATCAAGGTGAATGGAGTATTGATCAACAACATACGATATGCTGATGATGGCGTCTTAATTTGTGACAACATAGTCGATCTTCAACAACTTGTCACTATAATCGGAGAATACAGTGAGCGAATGGGACTAGAGATTAATACCAAAATGACCAAATTCATGATCATCTCCAGAAACTTGGATGCATTTGAAAACTCCACCATAACATTGAATAGTAAATCCATAGAAAGAGTGAGTAAATTTAAATACCTGGGATCGTGGCTTTTTGAAGACTGGGCATCGGACAGGGAAGTAAAATGTCGCATTGAGCAAGCTCGACAAGCTTTCGTAAAATTCAAGAAGGTACTGACTTGTTCTGAGTTCGATCTTCAACTGAGATTAAGGTTTACTAAGTGCTACGTATGGTCAGTGCTGCTATATGGCGTAGAGGGCTGGACACTCAAAACGAGGGATATAAACAGATTGGAAGCTTTCGAAATGTGGCTTTATCGCCGTATCCTAAAAATACCATGGACAGCGAAAATCACAAATATAGATGTCCTTAAAAGAATAAACCAAGAACGCCAACTTTTCGAAACCATCAAGAAAAGGAAAACGGCGTATCTAGGTCACATCATGCGAAATGAAAAATACCAGTTCCTCCAACTTATAATCGAGGGTAAAATTGAAGGCAAGATAGGAATGGGACGCAAGAAAATGTCCTGGCTCCGAAACATAAGGCAATGGACAGGGATTAACGACATACAATCTCTGATACATATTGCAAGAAATAGAGAGTTAATGGAAAATGTGATCGCTAACATCCATTAGTGGATTTGCATCTGAAGAAGAAGACAGGGAATCTATTTGTCAGGCATGTAATAAAAGTCATAAACAAGGTCATCCAATTCATAAATTAAACCTTATGTACTGTCAACTCCTTTCATTAAACTACTCTGCCAGAATATCATCAAATAAAGAAAACCCTGCATAATTTACAGCATTTAAAAACATCTCTCCTGGTATCTACTCAGACAAATCTTAGAAAAAAAATATTTTCAATGAAAGAATGAATAAGAAGAAGAATCACTCCCGAAATATAACAAAAAATCTACACACAAAGACATACCACTTCACTCATATAGACAAATTATTTCAAACCAACCCAATTTTTCACAGGCGCCTCTAAAACTATATCAAGTTTTGCAGTAGCCTACATACATAATTATAGAAAAGCACTGTAAGACTTTTTTAAAACCCAACTTTTCACAGGCGCCTCTAAAACTATATCAAGTTTTGCAGTAGCTTACATACATAATGATAGAAAAGCACTGTAAGACTTTTATAAACTTTAGCATATTTACGGGTGAAGTAATTGCAATCCTTAGAGCACTTAAATTTTGCCAAGAAAACTTCCATCCAGGGAACAGTGTCCTTATAATTTCCAACTTCCTTAGTACTTTAATGAGTTTAAAACGACTAAGTATACCCATCACATGAAATTATTCAAAATATGATGGATCATTTCTACTATCTGCTAAAGAAAAAGAGAAATTTAACCATATACCTAATTTGTGGCAAATAAAATGTGAATACACGAAATAAAATAAATGTTCTGTGTGTGCCATCACACATAGGAATAAAAGGAAATGATGAAGCAGACACATTATCCTTATTACACTAGAACATTTCTATAGGATGTCCAAGGATGATCACAAAAATCCATTATTAACCATATACCTAATATGTCGCAAATATAATGTGAATACACGAAATACACCGAAAACAAACTGAGGGAAATTCAATCATCTATTTTGATCCAATTTCCGCTACTGGACACCAGTCGTCACCAAGTCATAATCAACCTTTTACGTATAGTAAAGTTGTGGAGTAAAATATACTTTTATTGACAGCTACTGAATGCATCCCAAACTAGTCCCGAAGCTATATTTATAATCTCACTAAAATGCTTAGATTCATCAAATAAGTGTTTTGTCCTCTACATAGAACAAAACCTTTGTTCTATTAGCCAATCTATAGTTTGTAGGAAGTTGAACAAACTGTGATTAAGCTACTAATCAATATGTTTCACAATTATACACGTTGAAACTATAGAAATTCAGGAAATTAGGATTAAAGTGAGATTTTAAATTAATGGACTAATTTGTGATTGAACACCTAGGAACACCCCCTAGATGTGCCAGCTGTGACACACTAACTTTGTAATGTTATCAACATTACTTTTCTTTGAATAATTATTTTATTCCAATTTTTTTAATTTTATTTCAAACAAAACAAAACATAAAAATATTAGGTTTATATCCAAAAAAGAGATATAAAAATAGGATTTGTTTGACATTAATGTAAGATAGGCTTAACGTAAACCTGGTAACTATGTCAAATATGTCAATGTCAAGTCAACACCACTTCCCAACGGGGACAATGGGCGACATGATCATGTTGTAATGTATGAATATTATTAATATATGTTCAGCCAATACAGTAGTTTAATTGAGACCTTATTAACATACTTTAAACATGGCGCAGTCAATTTATGGAATCTACGTGTCCAAGGATAAAGTTAAGTGCTAAGTTTATTAAAAAGAAAAATTTAAGTGTTCCCAAAATGGCAAGCATGGTCAATGGAATAGGTTATGTTAAGTTACCCCAAGATTTCGACCTCCAGGGTCAGAGTGCCGCTTCTGAATGGAAATTTTGGAAAATTTCATTCGATGATTATTTAGTAGCAACAGGACAACACGACGCTGTAGATCAGGTGAAATTATCCATCCTGCGAAATATTATTGGCCATGAATCAGCATAACACGGATTATGGCTACTTTTGTTATCCCTGATGAAGAACTAAATAAGTATGAATTCACAATGCAGCTGTTAGATAAGTATGTGAACCCAAGAGTTAACGAATGCTTTGAGAGGTACAACTTTATAAAACGAGTGCAAGAAGATGGGGAGACATTTGAACATTTTTTGACAGAGTGCAGACATTTGGTTAGAAGTTGCAATTACAATGCCCTAGATCCCGATGAGTCATGTGAAGACAAGGCATTAAGAGACAAAATTGTTATGGGAATTAGGGATCCGACCACACGAGAAGCCCTCCTGCGAATAGACAAATTAAGTTTAAATAAAGCTATAGAATTCTGCAGAACAAGTGAGCAAAGTAGATCTCAAAATTTACAGTTTCAATATAACACAGGAAATATTAATCATACACAGAAGATAGAGAAAAAGAAATTTGATATAAAGAAGAAACCTTGGAATGGAGAGAAAGAAGTTGAAGAAGAAGTTTTTTTATGCAGAAGGTGTGCAAAAAAGCATGGTCCGAGGGAATGCCCAGCTTATGGCAAGAAGTGTAACAAGTGTGGACTAAAAAACCATTATGCAGTTGCCTGCAAGGTCAAAAATATTAAAAGTACTGAAAAAGATGATTGTGAGTCAACCTCTTCTAATGAATTTTTTGTAAGAAATGTTAACAGCAGGAAAAAGGTATGTAATGTTGATTTGATAGACACTTGGGAAGAGTATATAGAGGTTGAAAATTATAAATTGAAAGCTAAGTTAGACACAGGGGCAGATGTAAATGTTATTCCTTTAAATGTTTATAAAAAATTTAATTGTCAATTTAAAACCAGGCCTACTGAATATGTGTTAAAGGCATTTGATGGAAATGTGTCTCATCCTATAGGTGTAGTAAATTTAAATGTAAAATGTAAGGGTAAGAATATTTTTGAAGATTTTGTCATTGTGGATGGTGCAAGTCAGGTTCTGATATGTGGACAAACATGTTTAAATTTAAGTTTGGTAAAACGTATTGATTCTATAAAAATAAATAAGATAGGCCGGTCTGATTTAACAGATAAATTTATCAATGAAAATTTTGAAGTTTTCACAGGGTCAGGCAAATTTCCTGGCACATATGAAATTACAACAAATGATAAATTTGAACCAGTTTGCTATCCACCTACCAAGTGTCCAATAAAAATTAGAAATTCACTTAAAACTGAGCTAGATAGATTAGTCCAAAGAAAAGCAATTGTTAAGGTAGAAAACATAGACCCCAGGGCAAGTATTAATAGAATGGTGATAGTCGAAAAGAGTAATGGTAAATTAAGAATATGTTTAGATCCCTCATATCTGAATAAACATATAGTAAGCAAACCTAGAGTTGGGGAGTCCATTGAGGAAATATGTTCAAAATTATTAAACAAAAATGTATATTCTGTTTTTGATTTATCTGAAAGTTATCACCAACTTTCAATTGATGAAAATTCTTCATGGAAATGTTGTTTCTCTACACACTATGGAACTTACAGGTTTTTAGTTTTACCTTTTGGGTTATCAAATTCTCAAGACCTTTTTCAAGAGGCAGTTGAAAAGCATTTTGGTGATATTAAAAACATTGTAGTTTGTCATGATGATATGATCATAGCAGGGGCGTCTCAAGATGAACATGATCAAGCGGTCAAAGAGGTGATAAATAGAGCAAAAGAGGTGGGTGCTAGATTTAATAAAGAGAAAATTCAATTTAGCAAAAAAGAAGTAAAGTTTATGGGACAAATTTTTTCTCATTTAGGAATGAAAGTAGATCCTGAGAGGACAGATGCTTTATGTAAATTAGAAACTCCAAAAAGTAAATTAGAGTTACAAAGAATAATAGGTTCCTTTAACTATATTAGACGTTATGTTAAAAATATGGCTGAGCACATGCAAATTTTATGTGAACTTTTAAAAAACAATGTAGAATGGCAATGGTTGCCTAAACACCAGGAATGTTTTGATAAGTTAAAGAAAAATAATTTCAAATTCTCCAGCTCTGGTACCATTTGATCCAAATAAAAAGATAGTTTTGCAATGTGATGCATCCAAAAATGGAATTGGGTGTTGTATGTTTCAAAACTATGATAGTATGTTGAAATTAGTTGCATGTTCATCTAGGTCTATGAATGAACATGAAATAAATTACAGCCAGACAGAGAAAGAGTTATTAGCCATTTTTTATGGTACACAAAATTTTCATAACTTTATTTACCATTGTGATGTTGATGTCCAAACAGATCATAAACCAATAATTTCAATTATGCAGAAACCAATATGCAAAATTGGGTCAGTAAGGTTGCAGCGTTTAAGGCTAAAATTATTTGGATAAAATTATTTTAAAGTACATATTAAATATTTATTATGTTCCAGGAAAGCATATTCAATTTGCAGATATGCTTTCTAGAGCTAGTTTAAAGGCACAAACCCTTGATTTAGAGATGTTTGATATGGTTCATTCAGTCTCACTATACTTACCAATGACAGATAAAAAAATATATCAGTTCAGAGAAGAAACCTCTAAAGATAAAGTTTTGGCTACAATTGTTGATTTTTATTATAAAGGCTGGCCTAAAGAAAACAAGATTCCAGAGTATATAAAGCCATATTACAGTATTAAAAATGATATATATGTTGAAGCAGGAATTGTTTTTGTTGAAAATAAAATAATTGTACCAAAATCTCTAAAACAGGAAATGATTACTCTGTTACATAAAGGTCATATAGGAACTAGTAAAACTATTAATAAAGCAAGATCTTTATTTTTTTGGCCAAACCTTAGGGATGATATTGTCCAGTTTATAAAAAAATGTAGAATTTGTGAAAAATTCATGCCAAATAATTATAGAGAGCCAATGTTAGCACATTCAATACCAAAATTGAGGTTTAATAAAATTGCGGCTGATATTTTGGAATTTGGTGGTAAATCTTACTTAATTCTAATAGATTATTTTTCCCATTGGATAGAGATGCTATCATTAAATAATAAAACATCTGAAGCCATAATAGATGCAATGCAAGATGTTTTTTCCAGATTTGGCTATCCTCAATTTTTAATTGCAGATAATTTACCATTTATATCATTTAAGTGTAAAAAATATTACGATAATAAACAAATTACAGTCCTGACATGTTCACCTCATTACCACCAAAGTAATGGCCTTGCTGAAAAGGCTGTAGGAATTTGTAAACAAATTTAAAAAAAAAAGTTTTACAGAAAACTCTGATTATCGTGAGTTAGTTTTAGAATATAATAATACTGCTATTATTTCATTAAGTGCATCTCCATCACAAATATTAAATAGTAGATCTTTGAGAACAGAAATACCAGTAAATAGTGAACAATTACAACCTAAAATTCAGAATGAGATTTATAAACTGTTATCGGACCAACAACAAAAAACAAAAGTTCAGTATGATAAACATAGTAAACGTACACCAACAACTTATAAAAGGGGGGATAATGTAGTTGTTAAGAGTAGTGTTGATAAAGTATGGTATAAAGCTGTTATTGTAGAAAAAGCTAAAGAACCCAGATCGTACTGGATAAGAAAGGAATGCAATAATAGGATAGTTAGAAGAAACACAAGACACATAAGACCATCACATACAAAATCAGATGTAGCAGACATGTATCTTGAACCTGAGTTGTATCCACACACAAACCCAAATAGTTATAAGGATAATGATAATAATGATTTAAATAATGTATGTATTCAGGATAATGATTTAACAAATTTGTTTAATGAACATAGGAATACTGATATTGTAAGTCCTCATTATAGCTGCTCAAAAAATAATGATAGTAAGAAATGTAATGTTTCAAAATTCGGACGTACAATTAAACCTAGGGTACGCCTTAATCTTTAAGGGGAAGGTGTTTGACATTAATGTAAGATAGGCTTAACGTAAACCTGGTAACTATGTCAAATATGTCAATGTCAAGTCAACACCACTTCCCAACGGGGACAATGGGTGACATGATCGTGTTGTAATGTATGAATATTATTAATATATGTTCAGCCAATACAGTAGTTTAATTGAGACCTTACTAACATACTTTAAACAGGATTATGATCTTTATTTCTTGTATTTCCAGATGACAAGAGGAGGTGCATTGACGTTGGCCAGTCAGTGGAAGTCGCAATTCGACGACAGCGAGGAGACCACCGATAACGAATGGAAACCGGAGAGTCCCGAACACAGAGGCACTCTCGGAGCCCAGTCCGAGGCTGCCGCAGTACTGCCTCCAATACTTAGTAGAATAAGCGAAGATTCACGTACTAGTCATAGGAAATACATAAATATTGCCGGTATTGAAGAATATCCGGAGCTAGTCGGTAAGAATTTATAGATTTTGGTAGATTATACGATGAGTAGGTACATTTTTTCCTGATTTCTACGTTGTTTATATTGTATTCATAGTTTATTCTCCGAGCGAGATGTTTGAAGTTTTAGTTGATTATAACTGTTGTTTGTATTCACATTTTTTGTAATAAAAAATTATACATTAGACTTTTTTATAACCAAGTGGTTTTCTCATATCTGCCACACATTTAAATTTAGTTTATTTTTGATCAAATTGTTCTATGAATATCAATAATAAATTGAAAATGAAGAAAAAATCCCAGTTTGATAACGGATTTTAATAGTAAAACACTAACAATTGAATCGGTCATTTCAAAAACAACACGAGTCACATATTCCTAATTTTACAGGAGAGCAAAAAAACTAAATAGTTGAAAGATGGATAAAATGGATGACCTCAAAATCCAAAGTTATATTGTAATTGTGTTTCTAATCATAATGATCGATAAATCGTCTCGAAAAAAATAATAGGTTTTTGAAATATTGGACTAATGCTGTTTTTGCATGAAACGAAAAAAAAAACAGAAATAAGCCATTTATATTTTTATTTCGAAAGTGTAATAACTACAAAAACTGGTAATTATTAAATAATAATATTATGGAACAAAATCAAATTCATTATCTGACTCACGTCGTCAGCTTGCTCACTGATAGGCCACTGGAAAATTTTCTCGTAAAATGGTTTATATTGTTCTAAAATGCTGTTTTGAACTTGCTTGTTGAAATTTTTTTGGGATTAATGAATACAGTATTATTTGGGTAAGCTAATGATATTGGTAGCAACACGGGGCGTTTGGTTTTGGAAAGACGAAACGTATGACTAATGAAACCGTCAATAAAATCGTGAGTCACAACTGTACCTTTCGCATGCTTATCGTATTCAAACGACATAAACGACTATGGAGAAGGTTCTTTTTTGTCGCTTTTGTACCTTTGAACCTAGGCTTTCATTGGAGAGGCAGTTTCGCTTGTAATATGTTGGCCACCAATTACGACAATCTATTATCTGACGTGTCTTCATCTCAAAAACGGAAAAATTTGTCCCAGCTCCAGCCATAAGGAAATAATATTGATCTGGCACATAAATTCTGTCATGCTTCTTAATTTTTGATTTCAGCACCCAAAAATCTCGATCATTCGGCAAAAATGAATGTACTCTGATTGAAAAGTAATGGATTATTTTGGAAAATCTGCCTGTATCTGTCAATGAGAGTAAAAACCGGATCATCGTATGGTTCTTATTTTGTACAGGATAGTTGTCACTGCACAAAAATACTTCTTATACGTTATCGGGTAAAAAAGTTTCAAAATAATGGGACAACATGGAACAAACTTTATTGGCGCCTTTATTGGCTCGGCCTTCATGATGAACGTAAAACACATATTGTTTGGTTTTAACATTTTTTATACCGAAACAGTTCACCCATAGTTGACGCAAATAAAATATCTCTTGTATCGGTATACAGGACAGAGGAAGATTTTGCATAAAATTGAACGTAAGAACAACTGCGTCCTCTCGATTTTCACAAATATCTCTCACAAAATTTATCTTGTGAAATTTCTTGGACCTTCTTTTATGAACCGCTAGTTCAGCTTCTGCGGTACGTTTGGCATGTGCTCCTATGGACTGGCTGTTGATTTTTGTAACCAATTTTTCGCACTTAATACAGGTATCAACTTGGGGTGTACCAAAACGCAAAGAAAACTGTTCTTTAAAATATTTTGCGTAGTATTTATACTAAACATCCACATTTGGATGTTTTTCTTTAAAAAGACTATGCATGGTTTTGACATCTAGGCGTGCATCAAGGTATTTCATTTTTTACTTGCATAGTGTGTCTGTTTTCTGTGAAATGATCAAATATGATCATTAATGAACTTCAGGGGATTTGGTATTCCATTTCGGGTGTTGTCCTCGCCTGTCACGGGACTCAAAGACTTAAGAAGCAAGCTGCAAATTTTTCTTAAACGACCTTCTGATATCCCATAAATCGAAGTAAAAGTCTTTTTACAGACCTTTTCGTTCTTCATTCGATTTGGAACATGATAGGTGAATTGAAATTCTTTCAACACTGGCACGGTGTCTCTGAACAGGCACCTTTTCGATATTTTGCTGCTAGAATATATCTTGCTCATTTTTGGTGGAAAAGTTGTTTAGTGTGTCAACACAAAAAGCCAATTCTTCTTCAGAAAATTTTTGGAAACATTTTGCTCTGCATCTAAAAAGAAAAGAGATTTTTAAGGGTTAGTAAATTTTCTAGCACACTAGAATATAAAATAAGTTTGTAGCTAATAAATTCCTGTATAGTGATATTAAACCTCTTATTAATATTAACGCCGATTTTTATCATCTTTGAAACAAGTGTTTATTAAACTGAAACTAAGTTTATACTTTTAAAATTTGCAAGACAAGAACATTAACGACAATATCACATTACTGTAGTTTGTTTATTTATTGCGAAAAAATATGGTTTTATTAATGAAATATTAAACTATGTTATGAAAACTAAAAATTTGCCTATTGCTGATACAAACGGTAATAAATAAAGTTCTGTAAACCTACATAACAGCATAAATTATTACTTACTTGCATTTAGGTTCTGTAGCTCTAGCCAGTGCAATCTTTATAGTTGGTGTGTTGTAAACCTTTAACTTTGGCATTACGTGCAACATTCCTTCTTCCTTCTGTATTTTTCTGGATTGGGTTTTCTCTCGTTTAAGGGTAAATGTTCCTGTACACTATCGTCAGATGAAGTAGGCATATTATTTCTTTGTTTAAATAACAAAAAACCAATAAATTTAAATTAATCGTTGTCAAGCACTTAACCTCACAACACAACTGAAATAAAAACATGGTAACATAAACGACTCAACAATCATACGATCTCGGCTACCAAACAAATTCTTAAAAATTATGTTTACAAATTCACAGCAAAAACTGCATACGGCCTGGACTCGTTGTTTTTGCACAGACCTTCAAGTTTAGTTGTAAAGTATTTCGACAGATTATGTACGGACTGGTGTCGTTTTTGCACACAACGTGAGTTTATCTTAGATGAGTCTATTCCTCCTCACAAAAAGTTAGTTTTTGAAAATTGTGGACTTATGCTCTTGTTGAAATGACCGATTCAATTAAATTCTTAATTATCACAAATTAAAAAAAAAATTAAAACAACCGCTCTTTTGAATCTCGACGAACCTCTCTTTAATGAAGTATTCATATGTACAGCTTGACAAGAGAGAGACAAGTCACCTGTGCAAAACCCGAAAAGAAACCTTCCAGATAAAGATGAGATAGGGATAAGTGGAATTTATTACGAATTTCTTCTTGAATTGGTTATCATCAGTGCAATCTAAATGTTGTCTTATGTTTTTCTAGGAGCTGTTGTATTGACTACATGTCATTGTTAAAGATTGTTCAGCCATGATATGCGTTTTCCATCTTAATTTTTATTTCCTTCCATATTTCTTTCTGTTATCAATTTTATTACAGCAAGTGGCCAAAATATTCGAATTAATGCTTTCTTATACAGTAGAACCTCTTTTAACTCGAACCTCGACAAGTTGAAAACCTCCAAAACGTGAAAAAATATTTTGTTCCTTTTTCTTCAAACCGCAAAACCTCCAATACTCGAAATCTCAACCTCATTTTAATCAAAACAATCAGTGAATCCTTGTAATCCAATTTAGTACATATTTCCTCTCTATAATTCGAAAAATTAAATTGGACCTCTGTATCTCTAACATACTGAGAAATAAGTGGCGATGAAGAGTAAGAAACAGCGTTCCCTGAAAAGTAAAATACAGGAAGAAGTTAACACGTGCTTGCTTTTTGTCAGGTGTTTATTATTATTTTTGAGTTTATTTGAATTTTAGCAGAGCAAGTCGTTTCTTGTCGACTGAGAAATTGTCAGAATTAGTTTGGTTCTAACGCAATACACATCAATTTGTACAACAATTTACAAATAAAATTTGTCGAAATGGGACTGTATTTTAAATGTCTCCCTGATAAGATTTTAATTTTTTAAATATAAATGCTATAGTGGAAAGCATAGCAACGAACGTTTGCTATGCGGGATTCCTCCAGCGTGGCCAAGATGATATCTAACACCGCGCTCAGGGTTTGTTTCGACACCATCTTCATCAATTCCAGAAACTTAGCTGCGAAAAAAACACCCTCCTCAACCATGAATTACCGGCCAGATCACCCTGATTGGAACGCAATGTCGGCACGGCATTCGTCCGATCTCTCATTCACACACAATCCTCACCCATTCTCGTACTTTCTCACTACGACTGAATCCTTGTCTGCCTCTGTACCTCCCTCTTCATGTTCAGCTTCTGCCTTATCTTCTTGCTTGCTCCTCGGCACCCTGAGTTCCTTCGAGTAACCTTTCTTCTTGTTCCTTTCTCCCCAACGTTCTCAACTGTTCTTCATCGATCTGACGACCTAAGCATCTCTCCCACCAGTTCCGTAACTGATTGCACCCTACTTTCAGCAGGACAAGTGATTTCACAGGACAAGCATTTGTCATTTTCTGCCAGACATTTTGATAATCTGTAAAGGTATGCCCTGAAACAACCATGTCCTGTGAGCATTTACTGTATGCACATGCCACCCTCAACAGACTCTTCCTATCTGCTCGGGTAAGCTTTCTTCTGTACGCCTTTGTTAAAACTGCAGTACTCCAGACAGGCGCAGCGTAGAGAGCGATCGATTGCACAACATAATGAAGGGCCTTCCTCCTCTCCTAATTTTGGGCATCATCCCCCCCCCCCCAAGGCAGCGGATCTTACCACAGCTCTTTGAGTCATCGCCTTTGTGCTCCCCCACCTTCCGTTTGACTCGAAATCCTCCATAAGTCTCTCTCCACTATCGAATTTTTTGCTTTCTGCCTTGATGTTAAACTTACAGAGGTTCAACTGTAGTAAATAGTATTTCAAATTCTTTATTTATTCTAAGGACAACGCA